ACCTATGAGGGAAGATTGAAAAAATTGGCTTTGTTTAGTCTGGAGAAGAGAAGACTGAGAGGGGACATGATAACGGTTTTCAAGTACATAAAAGGTTGTTACAAGGAGGAGGGGAAAAAATTGTTCTCCTTAACCTCTGAGGATAGGATAAGAAGAAATGGGCTTAAATTGCAGCAAGGGCGGTTTAGGTTGGACATTAGGAAAAACTTCCTAACTGTCAGAGTGGTTAAACACGGGAATAAATTGCCTAGGGAGGTTGTAGAATCTCCATCATTGGGGGTTTTTAAGAGCAGGTTGGACAAAGACCTGTCAGGGATGGTCTAGATAATACTAGATGACCTCTCGAGGTCCCTTCCAGTTCCATGATTCTATGAAATTTCACCCTTAAAATCCTCCCACTTAAGGTGGACTTTAATCAGGGGCACAATCACAGAAAATTGAGCCAAAACTAAAATATTTAGACTTTTGCCAGGAAGTCTATCTTCTTCCCTTACCAAGCTTTCCTTAATCAAAGTGACCTAGGATGCCATGTCCCTTCAGCCTGTACATTCAGTGCCATTCACTCTAACAGTCTTACTAAATTCTTCACTACCTTACCAATACTCAGTCCTACTATACTTTATGAAGCCATCTGCTCCTGTACTGTTTCCTCTGGGATCATGGTGTTAGCATTAGCACTAGCACTCATGGTGGTAGCACTGGCACTTACTGTGGGGGTTCTGGGTGCAGATTGTGGGGTGACCTTAAGTTTGAGGCAATTTGGTTTTATGTGGCCAGGAGTCCCACAGTGATGGCAGACTACCTGCTTTCCCTTAGGGTAAAAGATTTTAAAATCTGGGCTCCTTTGACGTTTTTTAACAAAGTTGGGGTTAGGTTTATTCCCAGATCCCTCCTCCCTCTTAACATGGGGAACAGGAGCATTTCCCTTTCCCTGCGGTTTGTGCCCTGCATGAGCCCTTGACTCAATATATTTATCTGCAATTTCTGCTGCCTCCAAAACTGTGGAAGGTTTTTTATCACAGATGGCAGCTTTTATCTCATCAGTTACTGTCCCCACAACAATTGTTCTCGAACCAGTTCTGCTGCAGCGGTTTCTGGGGCAGTGGGGTGCTCAGACCCTGCTCCTTGCTCAAAGTCTATGAGCAAAGCTCTCAGTTTCTGATCAGAGGCTCTTTATGGGATAATCCCCTATTCTTACATAATTTTTCAAGGTTCTTTGTGTCAAGACCCTCATATGAATGCAATTCACTCATTATGTCTAATCTTTAACACTTAAAAACTCTTGATATCAAATGTAAACTTTTAACAGCACTAGGGTTATGATCTATAAACCAACTGACCAGTGGCATGAGAATCCTGCCAAGATTTTGTGTCACACCAATTGTCACACTATCTGGAGTGGGTCACGACCGTGAGTGCCTACCTCAGGGCAGACTGTCAAAAACAGGGCAGACACCCCAAACTGGTGGCTTGTTCTATAATTAGATTTCATCAAGCCAGTAACAAATGTGAACTCCTGGATCATTATAACAGTCTTGCCATGGAGTCACACACAGCCCCTTTAAACTCCAGTCTATCTTGCTACTCTGGCGAGCTGGACTTAGTGATAAATGATCACTTACACCAAAAATAATGAAATATTCAGGTTGCTTCCAGTCCCAAGATACTAGTCACTTACCCCAGATCCATTTGTATCTTAGATCACACACCAAAAACAATGCCTGTAGCCAATTCTGTAATAAAATAACTTAAACGTCTAACAACTAAACATAAACACAAATGAGTGGCAATCTAAATTCTAAGAGTGACAGAGTTGTAGTGATCTGTCCATTCAAAGTGTCTTTCAGGGCAGACCCAATGGTAACCCCTGGTGATCTCTGGCTTCAGTTTGGTGTCTCTGACCCTGTGAGAGTTCAAACAGCAAAGAGATGGAAAATTTTCCCATGTCTTTGTTTTATTTCCTTCATTCAGCCTTTCAGTCCATAGGACAAGCTTCCTTACACGTAGCATTTCCAAGGTGCGATACAGCCATTCACCAATCCTTTGTATTGCAATGTTTCTTGATGGCCCATCTGATTTTGATAGTTCTTCTCGACGGATAGGGGGAAACTCTCTCCCGGTCTGAGTTCACAAGTTTAGAGCAAACATTTTCTAAGTTATAAAGCAAAACTTACATATTTCCTTATAGCATGGAATTCAGACATTACAAATAAGATTAATGCATGCAGCAACTTGCAGACATTCTATCGAGTCTAAACACTAAATACATTCTTATGAGACTAATGCCTATTTTGAGCAACATTAACATATATGAACTGGTCTGGTCTCCAGCTATGAGTTTGTCAATTCTTAGCTAATGCCTGCAGTCTTGGCAAAAGCTGGCATCTGGCTTGCCAGCGTCACAGTAGTACCATAAATCTATTTGTAAACTAACACTAACAAAGACAAAGCAGGGGAGATATAACCTGTCTTTATTTCTGGTATCTATAAGTTAAGTGTGCTTTATTAACAAAGAAAGTAATATAAAAATATCCTATATATGATCATTCCTTACCTAAAGGTGAGGCCAAAAGAAAAACAATAGATGGCCCACTGCCCTACTGTGCAATTTACCCAGATTTGATTCTCATCAAATGATATGATTTTGGGTCTTGCTTTTCACGGTTGGGTTCACATTGGCTGAAGAATGGGTGATACTGAATGGCCCCAAAGGGAATCCTCTTGGCCAAGAAATGTTGCTATAGCATAGTATCTTAAATGGGAAGGGAAAAGTTCTTTGCTACAGGTACAAAAACAAAGTAAAATAAGTGGTATTAAAAGAATGGTAAAATAGACGAATACAAAGAGGCAACATAAAATGAAGGGAACAAACACTAAAAATCAACCTCAAATGTGTTAGCTCCACATATGGACTGACTTAAATTATGTATGTTTTTTAACAAAATCCTGTTAATTTAACCCATACACCCCAAAATCCTTCTCAATACTCTCAAATATATGACATAAAATATTTTTTTCTCAGCATACACTATAGTATGTACAGTATAAATGAAATCATGGACCTTATTTTTATTTTACTATTATTTTTTAGTAATTAGTACTAGGTAGACAAGAATGAGCTCTCCCCCTTGTCAAGAATGATCCTGCCCAGTGTTTACACTACACGGTCCCTTACATTACACTACAGGATTATGACTGAGGTGTTAGCTGGCTTGAGTGGGGATTGTAGTGCTTTTATCCATCAGTTCAATCAGGATTGGCTCTATGGTACAATTCCACATTACATGGAATTGCCAGTAGGAATCCTTCCTCTGACAACCCCACCTTCTGTTGAGCAAAAGACTGGGAATCTCAAGAGCTGTTCTGAACCCCAGATTTTCCTGGTAGCCATGCTCAACCGTGCAGCATTATTGATTAGGTGACCTCAGTATATAGGATTGTGAGAAGAGCTGTGGGAATAATTGATTTTTCAGTTTGCTGGCATTTCTGAAAAATCAAAAAATAAAAATAAAATAAAAAACAATAAAAAATTTTTTGGGTCAAAATGAAACAAATATTTCAAAATTTTTGGAGAATTGAAAAGTTGAAAAAAACCATTTCACAGTGAATGAAAAGTTTTATTTTGATTTTGAGCTTTTTAATATTTAAAATAAAATTAAAGGAAATTTCTAAACAAAAAGTCATTTCAAATTAAAAAATCAAAATATTTAATTTCAGAAATGTCAAAACAAAACATTTAGATTATTTTCAGAACATTTTCTTTGGTTTTCTTTTTTGACTAGCTCTAACTATGAAGTGGAACTCAGGCTGATTTTATGACAATTAGTTCTGCAAGATGTGAGCTTACTGCACCATAGATTATAAATGCTGTTTCCTTTGTGGTATGATGTGAGTCAGTATCCTGCATAATTTGTGGCCAATTCCTGTTACAGAACTATGTGTCAGTTCCTTGCAATGTATAGTATGGGCTAATTTTTCAGTGCCTTCCATTTTCATCCAATAGAAAGAGCCATCAAATCCCACCACCTGAGTAATGTGGAAACTGACTTAATATTGCCTCACCGACCTTCACAAAGTTTTACTGACAATTATAGTTGTAACTTGCAAATGACAATGTGAGCTTGTAATATTGCTTCACTAAAGGAGTGAAAGTAAGAAAGAGGGCAAGTAAAAAGTCTGTAAATGTCAATCTTTCTAGTGATATCTCTGTATTAAATAACTAAACAATTAGTTCACTTAGAATAGACATGATAATGAGTAAGGCTAATATATTAGTTATTCTTGTGTGGCACACACTTCCCCTTATAAATTTGCATTTGTTCAGTGAGTGTACTGTATTTTATGTTGGCAAGCGTCAAGCAAGAGACAATGTTTTCCTTCCTCCATACATATTTTTATTTTATTTTCTATATATAAAGAAAAAGTCAAAACACCTAGGATCAAAATGTTAGCTGATGTAGATTTATTATAATGGGGGAATCCTCTTGGATTCTGTTCTCCTTTCTATGGGTGAAATTCACACGGACAGGTCTGAAGGGTTTTGTAAGAGCCTCCGCACCACTTAAACCCCACTGTGCCTCTGAAGGGGAGGAGCTTGGGTAGAATGGCCATGCCAGACATAATCTACCCGCCCTGGTTGTGCACCATGGCATACCCCAGGGGAAATAGGCTGGTTTACACGGAAGTAGAGCCAGTGGCTGGGAGCTTCCACTTAGGGGATGCAACTATGTGCGGAAATGGCAGTCAGTGTGTTGATGCATTGCAGCAGTGCAAGTTGGAGATAGGAATTCCATCCACCTAACCCCCTAGAAACCTCTGAACGGAGCCTATTTACTCAGAGGAGTGAATTCCCCTTACATGCATGTGTAATTCTCATTGGTATCAATATCTGCACATATGAAATCTTTTATGAAAGAAAATAGAAAGATTCTATTATTATTTTACTTAATATTCTAATCCTTTAATAGAAGCAAACAATCACATTTTATTTTTATTTGCAGATGAAAAAAAGAAAACAAAGAAAATTGATAGTGAACTCAACCCTGTTTGGAACGAGGTGACTTATTCTCATTTTGTTTTTAATATATGGTACAGTGCATTATGGCTACAAAATTAGTATATTAGTCACTGCAGTTATGAATCTGAGATACAGATAGGAGTTAAAGTAAAATACTTTCCTATAAGGTGACAGTAAATGTGTTTTAAAGCTGAGTGAACAAACACAAAGTGGGATGGGTGATCCAGTGGATATAGTGTGCCTGGACTTTCAGAAAGCCTTTAACAAGGTCCCTCACCAAAGGCTTGTAAGCAAAGTAAAGAGTCATGGGATAGGAGGGAAGGTCTTCTCATGAATCAGTAACTGGTTAAAAGCTAGGAAACAAATGGTAGGAATAAATGCTCAATTTTCACAGCAAAGAGAGGTAAATAGCAGGGTCCCCCAGTGATCTACACTGGAACCTGTGTTGTTCAATGTAGTCATAAATGATCTGGAAAAAGGGGTAACAGTAAGGTGACAATGTATGCAGATGATGCAAAATTACTGAAGTTAGTTAAATCTAAAGCAGACTGTGAAGTTACAAAGATATCTCACAAAACTGGGTGACTGGGCAACCAAATGGCAGATGAAATTCAGTGTTGATCATTGCAAAATAATGCACATTGGAAAACATAATCCCAACTATACATACAAACTGACGGGGTCTAAATTAGCTGTTACCACGTAAGAAAGAGATATTGGAGTCATGATGGATAGTTCTCTGACACCATCTGCTCAATGTGCGGCAGCAGTCAAAAAAGCTAACAGAGTGTTGGGAACCATTGGGAAAAGGATAGATAATAAGACAGAAAATATAATTATGCCATTATTTAAATATATGGTACGCTGACACCTTGAATACTACATGCTGTTCTGGTGGCCCCATTTAAAAAATGATAAATATAAATATAAAGTGGAAAAGGTACAGAGAAGGGCAACGAAAATGATTAGGGGTATGGAACAGCTTCCATATGAGGAGAGATTAATAATAGTGGGACTACTGAGTTTAGAAAGTGACGACGAAGGTGGGCTATGATAGAGGTCTATAAAATCATGAATGGTGCTGAGAAAGTGAATATGGGAGTGTTATTTACCCCTTCACATAACACAAGAACCAGGGATCACTCAATGAAATTAGTAAGAAGGAAGTTACATAAGGAAGTGTTTCATCACACAATGCTCAGTCAACCTGTGGAACTTGTTGCCAGCAGATGTTATGAAGGAGAAAAGTGTGAGTAGGTTCAAAAACCAATTAGATAAGAATAGGTCCATCAATGGCTATTAGCCAAGATGGTCAGGGATGCAACCCCATCCTCTGGATGTCCCTAAACCTCCAGCTACCAGAAGCTGGGGCTGGGACTTGATAAACTGCCTTGTACTGTTCTTTCCCTCTGAAGCATCTGGCACCAGCCACTGTCAAAAGACAGGATACCAGGCTAGACAGATCATTGGTCTGACCCGGTTTGGCCATTCTTATGTTCTTATGAGCTGTGACAATTGTATCTCATCTCATTTTAAGTAAATGTAGATGGATTTATGGTTTGTTTAGGGCCTGCTTCTCCTGTCATTGAAGTCAAAGGAAGTTTTGACATTGATATTAATCGTGGCATGGCTGGGTCCCTGATATGAGCACTGCCACTTTAATAATTAACTGTACACCAAAAGTAATGAAAAATGGTAATGCAAGTTAGGGCTAGGTGTCTAGAGGGGTGTCACAAAGGTCAGTGTTAGTTTTAGCTATATTTAGCATTCTCTTTAATGAGCTAGAAGAGAGGTTAAAGTGCATACACATGAAAGTCATGGGTCATCATATCTACAAATAAGAGAAGGGTGTAGAAACACAAAGGCCTGAAATGATGACTGAACTTGGAATAGGCCCAGGTCTTATGAAGGCAATAAGTTATTTATACTAACTCAAGGGAGGAGCACTAGAAGTACTATAATGGGGCACTATTAAGAAACTCTCCTTTTTAATTGCAATGTACCAATAACAAGTCAAAATGTACTACAGACATGTTCTGAAGTTTTTCACTTCATTTTCCAGATATGCAGATGTAAGACCAGTCAGGTTTAACTGTGTTACTAAATGTAATGTTCATTCATGAAAAGTTGTATTGTTTGCCTTCATATTGTTAAGGTACTTTGTATTTCAGCTGTATTGATCAGTGGTTTTTGCTCCAATTCTCTTTGTACAGATTCTTGAATTTGATTTGAAAGGGATAGCACTCGATGTTTCATCATCCCTGACCATTATTGTGAAAGATTTTGAAACAATTGGACAAAACAAGTATGTACTTTTTTCATTGTTAAATTCATCTAATTTTCAATGTAATTCAAAAGGCCAAACAAAAACTATGAATCTGATATTTCACTACAAACAAATAATTGCTGCTATTAGATTGGTTGGTTGATTGAATTGGCTGACATTTTATTGTTTTATTGTGCTCTAATGATTCTCTATGTTTTAGGCCTGTGGTCTTCTCTTTGCTCACTGTGGTCTTCTCCCTCACCAATGTTTCTGTTTTGTTGCTCTGGAGGGAGACTTCAGCCTTCTCCGTACACTTGACCTTGTGCACAAAGTTATTTCCTCCTTTTTCTGCCAGAGATTGAGCTTCAGCCATACAATTGATATTCATGGGTTTTGGATCAAATGCATCAGACAAAAGCTCTTCCAGATAGCAGTCAGAAAACCAGTTCTAGTTAGTTTCAACAAAGTCGATGTTCATTGGTAATTTTACAGAATTAGAAAATAAATGACGGATAAACCCATTCTTGCCTGGATGAATATTGCAGGAAGCATTGATAGATTGACACTAAACTAAAAATTATAGGCTACTGAAAGATGGTCTTATAGACAGTATATCTGGTCTCTTCCTCAGTGGAAGATCTGTCAGAACAAGTAGGTCTGTTTTTTTTTCTTACTGTTAATGATATTGAAGAAATAGTCATGTTGTATAAAGGCAGCTATTTTTACATGAAAGGGAAAAGACATAACTAAAAGATCAGGGGGTAATGCAATGTTCTTTGTTTTTAGTGCTGGAAGTTTTGTATCCAAGAGTTTTTATGTTTTATCTTTACATTTCTATAAAATGTCAACTAATAGAATGAGAGAGACAATACTGCAAACAACTAATAGAATAACTATCAAGCATAAACTCATCAGAAGTATTTAGTTCCCTAAATTGTTTAAAAAGGCAAACTATGTATTTTTAAAAAATCAATGTTTGAAAGCTAAAATTAAATAGAATATGTAAGGTCCTGTAAATTAAGCTGGTCAGTATAACTAAAACAAGTAAAATGCTATTGCATAGAACACTTACTAAAAAATCCAGAAAATCATTTTTTCCCAGGGAATTGTGTAGTTCCTGGAATACAAAACTTTCATGTTTGGGATATATGCTTATAAACAGTTTCCTAGACATGTAACAAAGATTTGCTACGTTGCAAAATGCATTTTGCATAAAACTATACATTATGCATGGAAAGATTTCACTGCAATTAAATCATGGCCTACTTATGTACAGTATGTAGATAACATTGCAGTATAGATTTTCAGTATTTTGTCATAATTATTATTTGTATTGCCATAGTGCCTATTAGCCCTAGTTGTGGAAATCATGATATCTGAAGAAAGAAATTGACACAGAAAAGTCTGCCAGCCCTGCTGAGTTCTTGAGATGGATTTTGCATGACATCACCAAAAGATGGGAGAATTCTTATCTGAACCTTTGAACAGGGTCAGCTCAATATCTGGGCTAAGATTCCAGTTGATTCTTATTTTTTCCAAACTAGATAATCTATCCTTAATCCAAAGTCATATTTGCAAACATCAGCCGTGTCTGTTTGAATTTCTCAAAAGAATGATCATGGGCTAATCATTACAAATATTGACATTTTTGTTTATGGATAGAAGTTAGCTCACACTTCTGTATTCTATGTACACATAAAAAATGAACAAAGACGACCCCCTGGAAAAGTGACGTACTATATATGGAGCTACGAAAAGCATATTCATGCAAAGTAAATAGGAGGATGGTGAAATAACTATTTCACAATCACTAACTGTTTAAGGGTCATAAACTAATGCTCATTTGATGTGTGCACACAATGTTTCCCATTAATTTAAAAATAGCCACCATCATTTCCAAAGGAAAAAAAGAATAAAACAGTAGGATTTAGAACAAGAGTCACTTGGGATTCACACCAAAGTCATTCTAGTCTTTCACAGCTTCTATTCTTTTAGCACCCTTTCATATTACATTTTCAATATTTTATATAAATAAGTACACTTCTTTGTAAAAATGTTCACACACAATCAATAATAGGGAACAAATTCATTCCAAAGGTTGCTATAAATTGCATTGTGGGCTTTCATGTTTATTGTCTCTCAGTGATTCCAGAGGAAATCCATTCAATTTACAAATAATGAGATTTTTTTTTTAAATTATCCAAGCCTGCAAGCTCAAGCCAGAATCTGAAAGCCACACTGTGTTCTTTCTGTCTCATGCATTATTGACTTAACTGAAATGTATTACAGGTGTAGTTAAAGTGGACAGCTTGAGGTAAAAAATCTGCAGTTGGAATATAAGCATTCTGTTGAAACATAATATTATTATTATTTATTTGTATTACAGTAGCACTTCAGAGCCCCATTCAGGGACCCCACTGTGGTAGGTGCTGTACAAAACACAGAACAAAAAGATGGTCCTGCCCCAAAGAGTTAATAAGTAGATGACAGAGTTCACTCTCTGATAGGTAAGCTGGCTCTATAACAGGGGTCGGCAACGTTTGGCACGCGGCTCGCCAGGGTAAGCACCCTGGCGGGCCGGGCCAGTTTTATTTACCTGCTGACGCGGCAGGTTTGGCCGATCGCGGCCCCCACTGGCCGCGGTTCGCCGTCCCGGGCCAATGGGGGCGGCGGGAAGCGGCGCGGGCGAGCGATGTGCTGGCCGCGGTTTCTCGCCGCCCCCATTGGCCCGGGACGGCGAACCGCGGCCAGTGGGGGCCGCGATCGGCCAAACCTGCCGCGTCAGCAGGTAAATAAAACTGGCCCGGCCCGCCAGGGTGCTTACCCTGGCGAGCCGCGTGCCAAACGTTGCCGACCCCTGCTCTATAACATGAAAAAAGAGCACAGTTAAGAGGTCTTTCAAAACATAGTTACATATGTGTAGTTCTTCAGTGTTCTAAAGAAATCCAGTGCCACACATTCAGCAGCAACAGAATAGGGAGTGGTGAAATGCGTGGTTTGTTTTTTTCTTGAAATGCTCCACTACTCTATAACTAGACCTGCCTTTGCAGGCAATTATTCATGCTCACTCACAGTAAGGAACAGCTGAGGTGTAGGTTTTTTTTCCTTTGTAAGGTGTGTCAAAGTTAGACTCAGGACTCATAGTTTGTCAGACCACTCTGTTTTATTAGCACAGCGCTCTGCTGATACATTCAGATAATGTGAGCCCCCATGCAAGATTCAAACAGTCTTATTTATACAGATAAAAGGGTGCGAACTAAACAAAGGGATAGAGAGCAAAATTGTAAAATTTGCATAGGGCACAATATGCATATCCTGCTTCCTTATTAACTCTTATCGATCTAAGGCTAATGCTTCACCAATTGCCCTTAAGTGGGGCAATTCATTAAGCAGTTAATGTCTGCTTTCCTGCCCCCTGGCTTGCAGCATTTCTCATTTCTACTTAAAGGTACATACAGCATTCTTTAATTCATTCTATTTCATTAATATAATTCATTTCACTTTCACAGGTGTTAGTGGTATATTACTAAAATGATGGAGACTTCCTCTCCCACGCAACCAAAAAAAGTCCCATTGACATCAGTGGAATGAGGAATTGATCCTATATGCATAAATAACGAGGGAACTATTTATAAATTCTCAAGGGGTTTGCAGCAGTGGCAAATTACACAATTCTGTTCATTCCACCCTAATTCCTATTTCTTTTTAAAATCGCTTTGTTTATCAGACCAAAAATTTTTTTTTTTTGGTGAATGATTTTGTTTCTCCGTAAAGTGAGTAGCCAAAAGAATGCATAAAATCCTCCTGGCATGTTTCTTCCAGTTCACCTCAGTCCTGAACTGCAACATTGCACAATTCCCAAAAGAGGGAGGAGACTGCAGAACAGGCTGCTTTAGGCTACCACACATGGCAGTTTGGGGATATGTGCAAACACAGTACAGTGCCTAGCACTGGCCTCTAGGCACTACTGTAATACAAACAAATAACAACCACAATGGAGAATAGGAGATCATCACATTCACTTTACCCGTGAAACTTGTCATGATTTGGATTCCAGCCTCCAGAGGTGAAAGCCTATTGCACATACCCATTGTGGGCCATATCCTGTTCACCTTAGCCTCAGGAGGACTTTGAAATGAATGTGACTAGTCCAAAATGAGTAAGGCAAACAGGATTTGTCCCTGTGCCAATACTGGGTCTAAGTGCTCACATTGTTATTCACTTTTTATTTTGCTGTCTGAGGGGAAGTTTTTAGGCTTAAGTTTGAGTATGGGGGAGTTTCCTCCCACAGGCCTCATTTATCTTGTGCTGGAGTGAGGTGGGGGCAATAATTTAAATCACCTGTTTTCAGGGTACAGCTTACTCCCTATCTGTCATTCAGCCGGCTCTGCTGACTGGGACACAAGGTAGAAGTGGAACCATAGGTCTCACCTATCCCGTCTTGCCATCCTTCCCTGCCCGGTCACTCACAGGGAGTGTATCAGGCACATAACCCTAGCTCTGCTCCTCCATCCCTGGAGCAAAGATCTGGGCAGATGCTATAGAACAAGGGCAGTCTCCTAAAAACTTATACAGTAATGCACTTAAGCTGGTATTACACAGTGCAGGAGAAGCAGTCTAGTAGAATTTCCCTTGCTTTTACACTCTGCCAGAACACTACTCATTGCTGTGGTATGTTTCTGCAATTAGGCTAATGTGAACATTATGCATATTTTTCTATTTCTTCTGGAACCAGAATTTACTGCTACCTGCAGAAATTTTAATGTAAGAGCAGACTAATATTAAATGAACGTTCATCATGACACAAAGCCTGACCCACTGGAAAAGTAGTTACATTAAAAAAGTCCAAATCACACTGTTATAATGTCCACATAGATCACTCCAGGGATAGACAAAGAGAGCTTTCACGTGTCAAAGTGCAGAGCTGGTTTTTCCTATATAAAAATGTCTGAGAAGAGAACACATCTGTTTTCCATTATGTTGTTAGTCTAGTCAATGTTTAAAATCTCTCATTCCACTAGGAAAATGAATCTACACAG